CCCTCCCACTGCTCACATGAACATGAGCTTTCTTTCTCAAAATAAATAAACATTAAAAAAAAAAAAAAAGAACAAATAAACATAAGGGAGGTGAATAGGTCGAATAGGTGATGGGTACTAAGGAGGGCACTTGCTGTGGATGAGAACTCGTGTTGTATGTAAGTGATGAATTGTCAAATTCTACACCTGAAATTACTATTACACTGTATGTTAACTAACTTGAATTTAAATACAAATGTGAGGAAGAAAATTTTAAAAGCAAAAAAACAAATTAAAAAAATAAAGGTAACAAGTTTCTACAGTTGTTGGATGTAGTATACTATAAATTTCAACAGGTTAAGCTGGTTAATACTGTTCAAATCTTCCATACCTTACTGATTTTGTCTATTTTATGAATTATGGAGATAAGATTGCTGAAATTACCAAATCTAATCATGGATTTACTATTTCTTTCTCTATGTTGTTAGTTTCTGCTTCATGAATGTAGAAACTTTGTTATTAGGTACATACTCACTTGAGATTGTTTTGCCTTCTTGATGAACTCTATCATTGTAAAATGTCCTTTAACTCTAATATCTTTTGTCCTAGAATCTATTTAATTGATATTAAGACAGCCATGCCAGCTTTCCAATGATCTGTGTACGTATATTTTTTCCCATTCTTTTAAAAGTAATCTATCAGGATCTTTCCATTTAAAGTGGCTTTTACTTTCTAGTAGATAGATTAGCATATAATTGGGTTGGTCTTGCCTTTCTTATACAGTCTGACAACATCTTCCTTTTAACTGGAGTGATTAATCCATCTGTAATTAATGTAATTATTGATATAGTTGGGTTTAACTCTATCATTTTGTCATTCATTTCTTGTCTATTTGTCCCAGCTTATTTCTTTCTTCTTTCCTTCTATTTCTTCTCCATTTACTCTTTTTCTTCTCCATTTACTCTTTTGCTATATCTCCCTTTTGTCGCTGGTATTCTAGAAATTACAATATGCAACCATATTGGTCTACTCTGAATTAATATTATACCACTTACTTAATGCAAAGGAGTAATTCTATACATTCCTCTCCCCATCCTTTTCACCATTTATATATTTTTCTTCTAAATAAGTTATAAACCTCATACTATGGGGTTTTTTGCTGTAAACAAATTAACCTTTTTATTTTGAACAAATTAAAGAAATGTTGCAAAAATAGCACAAGAGAGTTCTCCTATGCCTCTCATCGAACTTCATTTATTATTAACATTTACATAGCCATAGGACAATTATCAAAACAAAGAAATTAACGTTGGTGGGGTGCCCGGATGGCTCAGTCAGGTAAGCATCCTACTACTCTTGGTTTCAGCTCAGGTTTTGATGTCACAGTTAATGAGTTCTATCCTCACATCAGGCTCTGCACTGATGGTGTGGAGCCTGCTTGAAATTGTCTCTCTTGTCTCTGACCCTCCCCTGCCATGCATGCTTTCTCTCTCTCTCTCTCTCTCTCACAATAAATAAAACTTAAAAAAAATTTAACATTTTAACTTCAGCTCAACTGTTATTAACTAAACTGTAGACCTAATATAAATTTCATCCATTTTCTCACAAATGTACTTTTTCTATTTCAGGATTTCATCCAACATCCTACCTCGCATTGTTATTTCTCCTTAGTTTCCTCTAACCTGTGACAGTTCTTCAGTGTTCACTTTTTTATGATCGTGATACTTTTAAACAGAACTGATTATTTTGTAGTATGACTCTCAATTTGGGTTTTCCTGACGTTTTCTCATGATTAACGTGAGGTTGACAATGCCACAGAAATTATGCTGCAACCTTCTCAATGCATCACGTCAAGGAGACTTATATCAATATGTCTTATTACACATGTCAAGGAGGTTTCTATCAACATGTGTTATTACTGGTGATGTTAATCTTGGTTAAGATGGTATCTGCCAGGTTTCTCCACTGTAAAGTTATTCTTCCCCTTTGTAGTTAATGAATATTTCAGAAAAGATTCTTTGAGATCATGTAAATATCCTTTTTCTCCTCAAACTTTCACCCATTAATTAGCATTCATCTTGTCTACAGCAAGTATTACTGTACTGTTCACCTAATGCTAATCTTTTATTTCCCTTTGTCTACTAATGACAAACTGCCAGTTTTTATAACTCTGAACATATCTTTATTTTGCCCTCACTTTTGAATGATATTTTTGCTGGGTATGCAATTTTAGGTTGAAGAGTACCCTTCCTAAACTCATCTCCAAGATCTTTAAGATGTTATCCTGTTGTTTTTTGGCTTTCACTATTTCTTATGTAAAAGCACTGGTAATTTTTACTCTGTATGTTTACTTTGTATGTTAGGTAAAGGATCTTTTTCTTTTGGCTGCTTTTAAGATTTTTCTCTTTACTTTAGTTTTCAACAATTTGACTATGATACATATAAGTGTGATTTTGTATTTCTCCTGCTTAACACTTACTGATCTTCTTGGACCTGTGGGTTGAAAATTTTTAATCAAAATTGACCAACTGGGAACCATTACTTCTTTAAATATTTTTTCCTTTCCAATTTCTTTCTCTTCTAGAGTTCCAATTATATCAATCTTAGATTACTGAGTATTGCCCCACAGGTTCCTGAGGCCCTTTCTTTTTCATTCTTTTGTCCGGTGTTTCATTTTGGGATAGTTTCTATTGTCGTACCTTCAAATTCAATGATCTCTTATTCTGTAGTATTCAATCGGCTTAAAGCCTATGTACTGAATTTTTCATTTCTGGTATGTATTGCTTCAGTTCTATATTTTCCTTTTTGTTCTTCTTTTTTAATAGTTTCCATGTCTTTGCTGAGACTCCTCATCTGTTCTCTTGTTATACATACTTACCTTACCTTACTTAACCCCTTACCCTTGAGTATTTTTGAGGCTTCTATTTAAGCATTAAGGTGGATCCTAGAATAGCTCTTACTTTAGACTTAGAATATAGAATAGTCTTATGCCTAAATAGTATCCTTTCTGGGATCTCAACAATGCCCAGAGTGTTCAAATAGGTCTTCCTGCTCCAGCTGATCAGAACTCCTATTTCCTAGTACCATGTGACCTCTGGAATCTCAATTCAGGTCATAATTCCTCCAGTAGCTTTTTTTTTTTTTTTTTGCCAGGAGTTTCATTGTGGCATACTATGGGAGGCAGTGGCTCCACCTCAGTAGGCAGTGGTATTTTATCCCTGACATTGTTTAGAAGTGTTGGCACAGAATGATTTTTAGACTGTTTTACCACTCTTTCAAATTTCTCTAAAGATACATATTGCTCCTTATTCCTTGAACTTGAGGTAGATACATCCCATCACTTCCTCCTCGGTATGCCATTGCCCTGTAGCTTCTTGCCCTGTGCATATTCAGCACTGCATTCAAAGTTGAAAAATGCAAATTTCTAGAGCTTCTATTTCTGCCTGACTCTCTTCTTTCTAATACCATGCCCACAGATTTAACCACTCCAGTAGCCCCAAATTCCAATCTCTGCCTTCTTCAGTTCAATTATATAAATGTGTTCTGCTTGATCTTTACCCACTTGTCCCATGGTCTGGGAAATGCTTTCAGGCAGAAAATCAGGGCAATCATGAAGCTCACCTCACATGTTTTCCTTCTTTCAGGGATCAAGGTCCTTGGCCAACACTTAAAAACATGTATTTCAATATTTTGGCTAGCTTTATAGTTGCTTACATATGGAAGTGGTCTACCCTAGTACAAGTTATTCATAACTAGAAGCAGAAATCCATACTAATGATCTTTAGGAAACTCAATGCACTTCTGATTTATAAAGTTAAAAAAATTTTTTTCCCTTAAATTCACAAGAGACATTTCTTATAAATTCAATTTATTTTTTTTCGCTTATTTTTTTTTTTAAGTTTATTTATTTATTTTGAGAGAGACAGAGAGCCCAAGCGGGGAAGGGACAGAGAGAGAGGGGGACAGAGGATCCAAAGCTGGCTCTGTGCTAACAGCAGAGAACCTGATGTGGGGCTCGAACTCAAAGACCATGAGATCATGACCTGAGCCAAAGTTGGACGCTCAACTGACTGAGCCACCCAGGCGCCCCTTATAAATCCAATTCAAATTTCAAAACTACGGAGTTCAAAATAAGACTCCCATCAAAACAAAAAACAAACCTTTGTGTCATCTGTAACTTCCATATAAACAAATACATGATTTAAAATATGCTGAATGTCTTAAAAAAAAGATGTTAATAGGTGATCACTACTGATTTGCATGCTTATCTCCTACCTTATAGAGTTTGAGAATTGTTTTAATGCATTCATGTACAAACTTGGTCTGTTTCTGAAGACTTCCACCATACAGTGCCACCAGTTCTTCATTGAAATTCACACTAAAGAAGTCAAAGTGGTATTTGAAGTCAATGTCTTCTGCTTTTCTAAGTGCAATAGAGCCAACAGAACGGACTGCAGAGGAAAATACAATGCGCACATTAAACAAAATTTTTAACGTTTTATTTATTTCTGAGAGAGACAGCACGAGTGGGGGAAGGACAGAGAGAGAGGGAGACACAGAATCTGAAGCAGGCTCCAGGCTCTGAGTTGTCACCACAGAGCCCAACGTGAAGCTTGAACCAATGAACCATGAGATCATGACCTGAGCCAAAGTCGGACACTTAGCTGACTGAGCCACCCAGGTGCCCCAAACAAAATTTTCAAAAGTTGCTTCAAAGTCTCTTAACAAATAACTTTATCCCACACTCCCAAGTATAAACAACCTACTTCAGGGTGACATCCTCCAACAGTATCAATTCAGAAGAACAAACCATTGTTTGTGCCCTGTATGTCTTGTGCCCTAAATGTTTTTTAAATTTAAGTTAAATAGAAAGTAAACAGGTCATTCATTCTTTACCTGCTTCCACTTCAGTAGGGACAACAGCTAAAAGGGAGGGGAAGAATTCTTTGAAGAGTAAGAAATGTTAGTCATCTGTATGAGTCATGCTTGAGGATTTTAAGAATGAGAAAATCCTTACAAGAAATAATATGCTCCTCACTTGGTTCAGATACCTATGCTTGATTTGTCTTTTTCTTACACATGACATCCAATCCATCAGTAAATCTTATCATACTCTACTTTCCAAACATATCCCCCAATCAACAATTCTCATCATTTTCACTACTGTCTTCCTAATGTAAACACCATCATCTCTTGCCTTAACTACTCTAATAGTTTCCTCATTGGTCTACCTGCTTCCATCACTGTTTCAGGTTTTGTTCTGTTAACTCCACAGAATTTGTGAACTGATTGCCTTAACTGGCATTAAAAATTGCAGTGTATGGTTTAGCAAACAAAATACCTATGTGCCATTCCATTTTTTTAACATACGTAATTCACATACTATTCAACTCATTATGTAAAGTGTACAATTCAATGACTTTTAGTATATTCATCGAGTTCTAAAATCATTTCTCTAATCTAACGTTAGACAATTTTAATTACCCCAAAAAGAAAACCCTGTACTCATTAGTAGTCACTTCTCATTCCTCTTCTCCTTCCAATTTCTGGAAACTACTAATTTACTTTCTGTCCCATGGACTTGCTTATTCTGGACATTTCTATAAATGGGATCACATACGTGTTTTTTTATGACTGGCTTCTTTCACTTATGTTTTTAAGATTTATCCACATTGTACCATGTAATTCATGTTATCAGTTAATTCATTCCTTTTTTATTATATAAGCTTTAGGTGTACAGTTTTATAATTCAACATCTGTATATACTACAAAGTGATCATCACCACAAACTTATTTACTATCCATCAACATACAGCTGGCTCCCTTCACTCATTTGACTCACTCCCAAACCCCAAGACTTACCTTGCTTATAACTTCCAGCATTACCAGGAAGAAAGAGGACTGGAATACCCGTCAAAGGGAGAATTTTGTGCTCTTCAGCATAGGATCCTTCTCCATAAAGATATAATTCATATGCAGGATAGCGTTTTGCCAGTTTCTTTGGAAGTTCTATTTTCTACAGCAAAAAGAAAAAAAAAAGCAATTTCACTTTAATTAGTTGTATTAATACAATTCAGCCTACTGTGTCCATTTCTGTATTACACACATTTGAAACAGCATAGCATAAAAATACTACTAATGATAAAACTGCACTTAATGTTCCAAACAAATTTTACTTTTAGCTTATTCATACGTAGAATGCAGAATTAGTCTTGAATTATGTGAGTTTTGAACAATGCAGTTTTCAAGAACGCATAAAATGGAACCACCTGAAATTCTAATGAATGCAAATTACTCAAAGTAGCCACTGACTAAAGAAAAACACTGAGGTATGTCAGCAAGTTACATGTTAATATAATTGGAAATGCTCTTAATATAGTATCAGTATCAATTATACTTAGAAATAATAAAGGCTTTCCATTATCAAATCAATTCTTTTTTGCTATTTTAAACTATTTTGCAATGTCTCTCCTTTTTTTCAGGCCCAACTATATACTCCAGCTGTTATACCATTCAAAACAAAGTAAGCTTGTTTTGTAATACAGCTTTCTGACCTCTCAACTTAATATGCTTTGATCTGCAATGTGCTTAACACATTAATCTGAACCTTACAGCCATGTCTTGGTCAAGACATGTACACTTTTCTCACCATAAACATGCCAATGAATTAGCATCTGTTTCAGTTTTCATGGACCAGGTGTATGGTTTGTCAGCAAGCCTTAAACTACTCTGCAATTCATACTTTGTATAACAAATGAGCCAGTAATTCACGCAATTTTTTTTTCCAACAAAACAGAAGTTAGGTCTTAATGTCATCCCCAAAACATAAGCATCTATGAATGTGACGGTAAAGTATAAGCTCTCCTTCTCTTCTTCTGCCCCTTTTTTGAGTACAGAACCATTAAAAATGAAATCAGTTACATTGAATAGATTTTAAGTAGACATCAATAGATTTAATGATCTAGCAGTGCTGCACATGTGCTTGATAAAAATTTTAACTACTGAATGAATTTTAAAGCCTATAAATGGTAATGACACTGAAAAACCTCACTGTTCTAAGAAGCAGAATTCTGATTATTCATGCACATTCAAGATTCTTTTAAAAATATTACCATAAACAATCTGTGTTAATAACACCTGAAAACATCTTTAGAGACTGTGCACTTATTGCTTAAAATATTAGCAATTTTATCTCCTCCAATACCCAAAATGCAGAAATACTAATCCCGCAATTCACTTTATATATATATATATATATATATATGGGCTTCAACTCAAATTAGCCCCAATACTGACTATGCACAATGTATAATAAACTAAAATGATGCAATATTTTGATTAAGTATACATTAAGCAAAAAGGAAACATGAGAGAACAAGAAAATGTTAATCTAAACTTCTCCCAATTTAGTACATCTTTTGATATGACAGTACATGAATATTAGATCATTCTTTTTATTTTTATTTTTTTTTTTTTTAATTTTTTTTTTTAACATTTATTTATTTTTGAGACAGAGAGAGACAGAGCATGAACAGGGGAGGGTCAGAGAGAGAGACACACACAGAATCTGAAGCAGGCTCCAGACTCTGAGCTGTCAGCACAGAGCCCGACGCAGGGCTCGAACTCACGGACCGCGAGATCATGACCTGAGCCGAAGTCGGATGCTTAACCGACCGAGCCACCCAGGCGCCCCTAGATCATTCTTTTTAGTACATTAAGTTTTGAACTAGCTGAAACTTAGAAGAATAGGAAACTATCAATATATTGAAAAAGAAATATTTAATTCTCTAGAGATAGAAAAACAAGTTCAAGTTGGGAGTGGCAGGAAGAGAAAGAAAGGGTTCTGACCAGATTAAAGACAGAAAATTATAGGCCTATGAAAAGGATGCTGATGAAGAAAAAGATGAGGGTCAAGGGATTTAAAAGAAAACTTTTATAGTAACAAGAGTCCCATATATTTTAAGTTATTTTGCATATATTATTTTAAATGAGCACACCTTCCCAAAAACAGACCTTCAATCAAAATAAATTACACTTATACTTAAATAACATGTCCACAATCCTGCCCCTGCTGTCCATCCCTCCTTGACTCTGCCTTAGTACAGGTCCTTCTAATCTCTAAACCCCAAACTCTTTCAAAAGACAAAAATTCTAATAAGTTCCCAAGTACTAGAAAAATACCAATTCAAGAAACAAATGTCTTTTTTTATGACACATATCTTTTACTTGTAAATCAAAACTGGAAAATTCAAATTTGAGCTCCATAATTAAGAAAAAAAGGAGAAAAAAGAGATTTGATCAAAATGCAGTTTAAAAGATCTTACAAAGAGCTCTTGGCTCTTTGTTCATCCCACCCCTAAAAACTCCAGCTTAATAAAAACACCTAGGGACAACTGAATCTTTTAGACTGGTTGGTCTTTCTCCCTGTCATAACCTCCCTGCTACAATCCAGAGTCCATAGTGGTGTCAAGAAATACCTTGTTAAAACATACAACTTCTGTGTTTCCTGACTGCATTTATAAAGGCTTAAGACAGTGGTCCTCTAATATTTGGCTCTAATTATTCTTACCTTTCTTAAACTTACACATGCCATGTTTTAAAATTTATTTTTAATATGCTTCAAAATTCAAGATTCAATAGAATGTACATTGAAAAGGCTCTCTTCCACCACTAGTCCTTTAGCCACCTAGTAGTTTGCACCCAGAAGGCAATCAGTGTTAGCAGTTTATATATATACATACTGCTTATACAATGTGTACTGGTGCCTTCCCACCTTCACAAATGCTATTCTTTATTCCTGCAATTTTCTTTAAAGAAAATTTTTTTTAACATTTATTCATTTTTTGAGAGACAGAGTACAAGCAGAGGAAGGACAGAGAGAGAGAGAGAGACACAGAATACAAGAGCCCAACATGGGGCTCAAACTCACGAACAGTGAAATCATGACCTGAGCCAAAGTTGGATGCTTAACCGACTGAGCTACCCAGGCACCCCTATTCCTGCAATGTGAAATATATATATATATATATATATATATATATATATATATATGTATACACACACACACATATATATATACACACACACATATATATATATACACACACACACATATACATATATATCCTCTAATTCACTACAACTTGGCTACAGCCTTTGACTACTGAAGATGAACTTGGACACTGTCTTCTGTGAAGAACCTCATATGCGCTCTTACAGTGAAACTATAACATTTAGCACATTTTAACTATCCATTACATTCCTGTCTCCCCCACTGTACTATAAAGACATAAAGGCAAAGTCTGATTCATCTCTAATTCCTTCTTACCCATACCTTGTATCTAGAATATACTAGACACAGAGTAGTTATTCAATAAATTATTTGCCAAACGAACATCACACTTAATAACAAAATGCTATCATTTGTATTTTCCAATATCAACATTTTCTTCAGATAGCAACTGCTAGGTCACTTATCTGAAGACGGTCAAATAAATTACTATATGGGAGAAAAACAACACAGATGTTTCTTCTTGAATTCTACAATTTGCCTAAAACTGTTTGCTACCAAATAAAAGCTGTGCCTTGCTATCATAATAAAGCAAGAAGCTTTAAGGGATAATGTGTATTTTGCCTGGTAGGTCTGTGAGATGTCCAGTTAACTCTGAGTAAGTGAATCTACGAAAACCAAAGGTAGAAAATGAATACTCAATTTTAAATTCAAAACTTCATTCTTACAAATAGGTTCAAATTCCTGTCCCACCTTTTATTTTTTAAATGAAGAATAAAATAGAGTGTGTTTCAACTATCATTTTTTCTAAAATTCAGCTAACAAATATGCAAACTAACAGTAAAAAAGAAGAAAAGTGTCAAGAAGCTGAAAAGCCAACGAATATATCAACTTATATGCAGGTATCAACCTGTGAACAATTAGAAAGCTTACTACGAGATATAACTAGAAGTAAACAATACATATGATGGACGTATTTAGAATACTTTTATTCATTAAAAACCACTGGTTCTTAATAGAACGATCTCAGTTATCCAGAAATCTCACTATATTCAAGATGACTCAATTCTATAGACAGGCTTTAACTATATTTCTAAAATAACATGACCTGGTGTACACAATGTAAGATACAAGAATCGAATATAATACTGTAGTGAATTAACACAGCCTCTTTTTACATCATAAAAATAAATATCTACTGAAAATGTGAATCAGAAACTCCTGCCACTGTAATTATTACTGTACTGACAAATAATATTAACAGTAACGGAATAGTAAAACCACAAAAAAGTAATTTGAATCAAAATAGCTAAATAGACTACTCAACAACAAAAAAACCCAAACAGCTCTTTTGCATTAGCTAATTTGCTGTCTTTCCAGTTAATTTTATGAGGCAAGAAATGCATCTGTGAGGTCCATATGCTTTGTTCCCAACACTAAGCAATTTCCACTACTGCAGATATTAAAGTAGCTTCAATAATTGTGGGCAATCTCAAAATAAATGGGAATTAGTTCTGTATTGTTACAGATAATTTTGTTTTAATCAAACTCTTCAATGAAGTAGAAAACTAAAGTGACTATTGAGTTTCTCAATTATTACACCATAGAAAAATGAAAGATTATAAGGGCTCTATTTTCGGTTTAAAAAAAACCTTAAAAGCCCACGTATTTAACTATGTATAGACTCTGATAAACATAAACCGGCATATGTGCTTAGAAACTGAGACAACAGTAACACATTAATATCTTCTCCTTCAATAGCATCTGATATCAAGTTCTTCCACTCCTTTATAAGCACTGATGCAAAACCAAGATAAGGATCTCAAAGCAAATGAAATCTAAATTAGAATTTTGCCCACGGGAAAAGATGTTCTTCAACAATTTAAACCTTAGGTATTTTTACGATCTAAATAATAGCAGCATTAATCAAATAATATGCTAATCCACAATGCCCTGGGCAGAGGCAATCACGATCTGCATTCTACACCTTAAAAAAAAAA